AAAATCGACACGTTTCAGAAAGGCGGGGCATAGAGGAGAAACAATAATGTACATTATGTGGAAAATGTGTTTTTTTAACCTTAAAATCGCATAAACACATTGCATTACACCAAAAACACAAAATAATGTTCTTTATAGCAACGTCATATGACCCCTTTTTAAATAATATAGAAAAATAAATGATGAAAAAAAAAATCAAGTTGCACATGAGATCATGAATCACAGCTCATCATTGGCTTGTGGATTGAGATAAGCAATGACAACAGTAAGGAAAGACTTTCAGTTTTCTGTGCTTCCCATGACTTGAGTTTGACAGGAGAGAATACATTATCTGCTTTTTGGCTGCCGACAGTAATGCTAGGTTGCTGCATCATGATCGTAGGGCACTTGTACAGGTTAAAAGGGAATGCACACTTTGGTGGAAATGCGTAGAACAGTCACGGGCAATGTGTGGAAATATGGCTAACATTAAAAATAAATGTTCAAAAGTTAATCTTAAAAACATTTTAGGCATTGCATTGATACATGGTATTGTTAGTCATTTGATTGATGTATCAATACACATCAATGCACCGTTACACCCCTAGTAAGGATGAAATATTTGTCTCTCTTATAAATGATTTTTACTGGCAAACTTAGATGTATGAACTCTTAAAGAGGCTCTGAAAAGTTTTTTTTTGTGTGTATGTCAACATGACCGCCAACATAAACAAATTATGACCATTTATATGGCACTAACACTATTCAAGACAGTTCTAGGAACACTGGCACATAATGTCTTTGCTTTTGCCATATGTTGATGAGCTTTGCCATTGTATGAATGTCTCTTAGGTACTATGTGTGAGGTCTTCAAACATTTTTACTCCTTGGGCTGGGGGTTCAGGTCAGCTCTAAGAATTTCACAGCCAGCTTGTTGTCATCTGAGAGATACATGCTGAAGTGCTCCCAGGCAGTTTAACTTCATGGGATACTCATAAATTCTGAGAGGCCACAAAACAGTTGGAGAGTGTTTGAAGAGCCTCTGCCTCTTTGATGACAGCGCAAACAGGCAGACAGATTGACAGGCAGACTCCAACTTGATAAAAATAATAAAATAATAAATTCAGAGTCATTTGTGTGTGAATGAGACAACACTGGTCACGCTGTATATTGTGTGCAGTCTGCAAGGACATTGAGATGTATAGACATTTTCAATTAATTGGCAATGTGTCCCATGTTTTTGTTTTTGTTTAATTCCCCAAACACAAGTTGTGAACCTCCACAATGATTTTGGGATAATTTCTTGAAATAACTAAAGTAACAATTATGAAACTTGCAGAAGTAGTATCCAATTTAAATTTTTTTAAATCTGTAAAAATGGCCTATTGAGCATCCATTATTTCTTTCTGGGAAATATGCCTCATTAACAGGACATTAATGAAGACTTTGGTCATTTAGTAGGCAGGCATTGTGTCTGCCTCCTTTTGTGCTTTTTTTCCACCACACCTCAGTTGGCAGGCTGCCAATAATGTACATTAGCTTTCACAAAAAATCTACTCAGTGCATACTGTATAAACAAGACCCAATGTGAACTCACTGAACTGTCACTGTCCTCACACTGGGCTGTTTTGGGTGTCTTTTCTTGTTTCCAAAAAGTTGGCTGACAAGTGAAACTACAGTAAATACAGTGACAGCTGCAGCAGCAGTAAGTTAGAAAAAAGACATGCAGATCTTTTCATCTGAACAAATAAATATCTACATATTATATATATATATATATATATTTTTAGAATTGAAAATAGTCTTAACAAATTTTTGCAGAATTAAAGTAGTATTTATACTGACATTATCGAAACATACATTAAAGCTGTGTTTAGTTTGTAGTAGCACAATCCAAGTTGTGTTAGCGAGGTATCCAGATTCATCAGCCAACAGCTTAATCTGCTCAGATAATGTGTTTTTTCTTAATTGAAAAGGTTTGTTTTATATATTAATGCTGCACAGCTGTATTCACCAGACGGTGAGAAAATGTATCAGTGTATCAGCAGGCTTGTACAGCTCTGGGATCAGCGAAAAACTCCCCTCATCTGAAATTCGCAAAAGCTGTTGTAAGGAGCAATACAGCGTATTTCGGAAAGACTTCCACTTCAGCTAAAAGCTAAATCCAGGAAATTCATTATTCAGTATCAGCACAAGTGATTCCTCGAGTTAGGCTTTCTTATGGGAATTTTACAACTTCTAGATGCCTGACTTTTTTTAGTACTGTTATTTTATTATTGCACTGAGGCTAGTCTAAAGGAATTTAGTGCAGTAGTTGGATTCGGCATGAACAACAATAAGGCCTGGGGCCAGTCTGAGTCGAAGAAACAGTGTTGTTTTTCTCCTAAATCGTACATTATTTGATCTTATTCAAGTTTGACTTGGTGATTAACTTGTCATCCAAGATAGATGTTTTTTTTTTTTTTTTTTCCAAAACTGGCACAATTTTCCAGAAAATGTGTGTGATTTTATTGCTTTCATGGAGTTTTATTATAGCTGTATAATTGTTTGGAAAGATAATGTCACGGTGTGTTGACGAAGAAAATGAATATATTCCAACACAAAGTTTAATCACAATAATCCACACAAGAGATAATCCAAAAGGGCAGGGAAACACACATAAATGCAAACGGTGACTGGACCAGGACTGAAAAGAAGAGGGAGAACTTATACAAGAACTAAATGAGGGAACTAATGAGATAATAAACGAACACAGGTGAACTGAATGAACTAATCAAAGGAAGACAAATACTAGGTCAAGGGAACTAAAATTAAAACAAACTTGAAATCCATAAGTGACAAAGTATTAAAATATAGAATATAAAATTTAGAATAAAAATCTATAGAATTTATAAAC